GGTAGTATATACACCTGTTCTTTCAGTGAATTATAAGAAAACTAATATTTGGGGGTTTAGGAGTAAGTGAAAAGTCAGGTTACCCTAAATCAATAAAGAATTCAATTTATATTGCCATTCAGGAATGGAGTGAATGATGCAGAAGTTGTCAAATGCTCAAGTTAGTTTGGAAAATCAATCTTTCAAGTGATCCTAGGATAAAAATAAATTTTTGTCTTAATATTATGCACCAATTCAAAGGCTAATATGCATATTCAAAGGCTGTGTAGTTCTAAAACTTAAAATAAATATAATAAATGTTTTAGTATCTACTTGGACTAAAGCCATTTCAAAGGGTGAAAATAAAGTAAATGCCTTCTATTCCAGATGAAAATGTAGGTCAAAGTGGTTGAGAAAAGCTTTCACTAAGAGCTGTTCAGTCTCTAAAATACTTGCTTAAAATAATATAACTTGTGGATTTAGAGTTTTATACCTGAAAAACAGCATGCTTACATATTGTTAAACTTTTGTGCAATGAAGTAAGCAATGTCAAGTGAAATTTTTCAAAAGTTATGAAAGAGAGATCTTATTTAATCAAATAGTTTTATTGGCAAGTGTTTTAAATTGATCTGAAATCAGATTTGTCCTCTCGGGACCAGCAGTTAGTGTAATGGCTATGTCGCTGGACTCCCATGTAGTCGACCGTGGTTCGCGTCCTGGACCTGGTGGTTTAAACTCACACTGGGTGCATGTGCATGCATGCCCAAGATCCCGAGAGGAGAATGGAGGAGAAGGGATTGCGGCGTGGCCATCCCCCCTGGGGAGGGTGATTTCTCGCTTTCTGTCTCTCTATCTCTCTCTGTCTGGCCAGCACACGCACCCTATAGCAAAAACCTTTCAAAAAAAAAAAAAAAAAGATTTGTCCTCTCAAAATTGGATAAAGATGTCTTAAATGCTTATTGAATGACAGTTCAGATGAAGTATTTGAAGTATCTGAGGAATTCATCATTTTCCAGGGCAAAGAATGTTTACATTATAAGTATATGTGATTAGTTCTGGGTATAAGGTCAGATGACTTAATTGCTCCAAATATTAACATAAAAAACTAGCAAATATGTAATGCTGCATCTTAATATGCAATATTTCTGGCAAGAATATAATACATTGGGAATATGTAAGTTTTCCTTTATTGAAACCTCTATTTATTATATAATGTTACAAATACCTTTAATTATGTGTTCTCACTACAAGGCATAAAGAATGCTTCTCTAGTGAGACTGATATGCCTATCATTGTCTAAAATATTACTATGAAAGGCAGATGCTACTTTTATTAGACAATTTGGGGAAATATATCTATGGGGCATT